GAAGCGAAAGATCAAGAAGAAGCAAGGTGATCAGGAGCAAGTCATCGAAGTTAAGACAGTCGAAGAAGAAGGCAAAGAACCTGAAACAATAGTGACTGTTGAAGAAATTCAACCGACAGATGAAGAAAAACCAAAGAAGAAAAAAGTCATCAAAAAGGTTAAGGATGACGACTACATTCAGCAATTGATCGACCAAGATATTCCAAAGACGGAATTGGAGGAATTCGAGAAACCTGAATTCCAAGAAATTAAAAAGAAACCAAAGAAGAAGAAATCACTTGTTCCAAGTGACGAAACACCAATTGATCTTGTAATTGAAGAGCTGCCCGAGGAAAGAGTAACGATTCAAATCCCAACTGATACTGGTGAGATCGTCGAACAAAAGGTAACAAAACGAAAGATCAAGAAGAAGCAAGGTGATCAAGAACAAGTCATCGAGGTGACAACAGTTGAAGAGGAAGGCAAAGAACCCGAAACCGAAATAACTGTTGAGGAAGTTCAACCTATCGAACCAACGAGCGAGGAGCAACCCAAGCCCAAGAAAAAGAAGGTTATTAAAAAGGTCAAAAAGAATGAAGAGGATGATATAATTCAGAAGCTCATTGAACAGGAAATTCCCAAAACCGAGTTAGAAGTATTTGAAAAACCAGAATTCGGAGAAGTCAAGAAAAAGAAGCCCAAATCAAAACTGGAACCAATTCCAATCGTGAAGAAAGATCAGAAACCGACCAAACTTCAAATCACCAAAGTTGAAGATTCTCCGATTGCCATTAAAATGTCATTCAAAAAACCAAAACCAATTGAAAAGAAGGAGCAACCTCTTCCAGAAATCACCGGCTTCAAGTTAAAGAGTCGTTTAGTTCAAGTCAATTATCCACCTGAAGCCACCAAACTGGTAATCAAAGAATTGAATACCGTTAAGAGCAATGGCGAGCTTTCGCGTAATGTCGAAGAAGCATTGGATACTCTTAAAAAGAAGAAAATTAAGAAAATAAAGATTCCAAAGGTCAGAAAAGACAGTTTGGAACGACCTGAACTCGAAAAATATGAAAAATATGAGAGCAGTTCCGATGAATCCGAAACCAAAGGCAAATACCAACGAGGAGTTAAAGAAGGAAAGATTCCGGAAGACGATCAGAAAACACTTAAACTTGGAAAAGGTAAATCTAGACCGGCTGATGCCGATGAAGATACTGATGTTAAATTGAAACCAGTACCAAAGAAGTCTCAAGTTGCTGAAGAAGATTTCGTTGAAGCTCCAAAGAAACACAGATCTGAGATCAAAGATCAACCGGAAAGAAAAACAAGTGTTGAAATTGACGTCAGTAAAGTTCCACCGTTTGATTTTGAACCAAGAGAATTTTCTGAAGAAGAAATACCAGAGGTTGATAAAGAGCCAGATGTCAGTGACAAAGAATCAGCGCCAAAGAAAAAACCAATTAAAAAGAAGAAAGTCAAGTTAGAGCCTGAAGAAGACAAAATTAAGATCAAGAAAGGTGTTCCAAAGGACAAAGATCAACCTTCAGAAGACGACATCAACCTACACTATGACCGCAAACCATTGCCAGAAGAAAGTGAAGAACAAGTACCGTTGAAGCCGTTCGAAAGACCTTCAACTAAAGGTGATAAGCTAGAAATGGAAACACAACCAACTGAAACCACAAAAGAAATTCCAGAAAAAGATTATGTAGATAGTGACACAGAAAAACAAGAATACACTGAAACAGGTAGGAAAACAATAAAGAAAATAATAAAGAAACCAAAGAAAGCTACTCCAGCTCCAGAAACAAGCGAGGAAAAAGAAACACCAGCTGAGCTTCTCGTCGAAGAACTCCCTGAGGAAATTATTACTATGCAAGTTCCAACTGAAACGGGTGAAATCATCGAACAAAAAATTACGAAACGTAAGATTAAGAAGAAGCAAGGCGACAAAGAGCAAGTTATCGAAGTCAAGACAGTAGAAGAAGAAGGAAAGGAGCCTGAAACAGAAATAACAGTTGAGGAAATTCAAACAGTCGAGCCAACCGAAAAGGAATTAACATCAGAGGAACAGCCCAAACAAAAGAAGAAGAAGAAGATCATTAAAAAGGTCAAGAAAGATGATTACGATGACTATATTCAAAAGTTGATCGATCAAGAAATTCCAAAGACGGAACTGGAGGAATTTGAAAAACCTGAGTTTGAGGAAATCAAAAAGAAGCCGAAAAAGAAGAAATCCTTGGTTCCAAAGGAAAGCGAGGATCAACCAGCTGAACTTGTTATTGAAGAGCTACCCGAAGAGGTTGTCAATGTTGAAATTCCAACCGAAACTGGTGAAATTATCGAACAAAAGGTTACGAAGCGAAAGATCAAGAAGAAGCAAGGTGATCAAGAGCAAATCATTGAGGTAACTACAGTCGAAGAAAAAGGAAAAGAGCCTGAAACTCAAATAACAGTTGAAGAAATTCAACCAGTAGAACCGACTGAAGAGAAACCAATAACAGAGGAATCGACAACAGAGGAACAACCAAAACCAAAGAAAAAGAAAAAAGTGATCAAAAAGGTACCGAAAGATGACTACGAAGATTATATTCAGAAGTTGATCGATCAAGATATCCCGAAGACCGAATTAGAGGAATTCGAGAAGCCTGAGTTTGAGGAGATCAAAAAGAAACCAAAGAAGAAAAAATCACTTGTACCAAAGGAAAGCGAGAAACAACCAGCCGAACCTATTGTTGAAGAGCAAGTAAAGAAGCCCAAGAAGAAATCTCTTGTTCCTGAAGTTAGCGAAGAACAAGAGACGCCTGCTGAGCTAGTTATTGAGGAGCTTTCAGAAGAAACAGTAACGGTTCAAATTCCAACTGAATCTGGTGAAATCGTCGAACAAAAAGTAACAACACGTAAGATCAAGAAAAAGCAAGGTGACAAAGAACAAGTTATTGAAGTTAAGACAGTCGAAGAGGAAGGCAAAGAACCTGAAACCGAAATAACAGTTGAAGAAATTCAACCAGTCGAACCGACTGAAGAAAAACCAACTGATGAGGAATCAACACTAGAGGAACAACTAAAACCAAAGGAAAAGAAGAAGAAGGTGATCAAAAAGTTTAAAAAGGACGAACAAGATGACTATATTCAAAAGTTGATCGATCAAGATATTCCAAAGGCAGAGCTGGAAGAATTCGAAAAACCTGAATTCGAAGAAATCAAAAAGAAACCAAAGAAGAAGAAGAAGTCACTTGTTCCAATGGAAAGCGAGGAACAACCAGCTGAACTTTTTGTTGAAGAACTACCTGAAGAGGTTGTAAAAGTTGAAATTCCAACTGAAACTGGTGAAATCGTCGAACAAAAGGTTACGAAGCGAAAGATCAAGAAGAAGCAAGGTGATCAGGAGCAAGTCATCGAAGTTAAGACAGTCGAAGAAGAAGGCAAAGA